TCTCTCTCTCTCTCTCTCTCCCCCCTCCTCTTCCCTCTCCCTCTTCCTTCCTTTCTCCCTCCTTCCTTCCCTCTTCCCCCTTCCTCCTCCCTCTCCCCTTCCCTGTCTCCCTCCTGCTCTCTTTTTTCCCCCTTTCCTTCCTCCCTCCCTCTATAAGAATTTTGCCCTCAATATGGTTTCTTACAAATACTGAGAGCTACTAACACAGAGAATTGGTAAGAGATAAAATGGTCAATGTAGATTAAGACAAAAAAAAAAGGTTTAAAAGTTAAGCTAAAGAATGTGAACCTATATCCTATAGGTGATAGATGTCTCCCTGTAAGCACCCAGCATAGTCATGGTACCTACTGATATAAAATACTATTTCTGAAGTTGATGTTGAATGATATTGTATGTCAACTATAATTATATATACATATAGTCATGGGATGTGAAGTAGAGTGTGGGAGTGGAGTCAATGGAATTGTAATAGATATGTATGATATCGGGAGTGGAAGGGCAATAGATGGGAGAGAGGGGTTTTTTTTGAGGGGTGAAAAGGGTAACTATTGCATTGTTCTGTACACCTGAAACTAATAAAATAAATAAATTTTAAAAATACAAGTAATAAAAAAATACTATTTTATTCATTATTTTAGTGAGTTTTGTGGTCATGAAGAAAGTCTACTTAGAAAAGATAACTTTAAAAATACATTGAATTATTTTTTACCATAATAAGAGAATAAAAAGATATGTGGTGATATAGCCTAGAGGAAATAGTATTTGGGGGTGGGGGAAGGGAAAAAAACACTTTAGTTTTAAATTCAAAGTTGGCATTACCTTTTAAATCCTATTTTTCCAACCAAGTCTTCCACAGAAGTGGATTCTAGCCTATCTTGAGCAGATCACCTCTCCTACCACATTTATAACTTGAAGGGCAATGTCTTTATCTTATGATCCAGTTCCACCCTACCTTCTCAGTATTTTCCTTTTCTGATTAATATCAAAGGAAATATGCCCTATTCGGAAGCTCTCTAGTATTTGTGTTATATCTCTCTTCACATATGGCATTTTTTTTTACATTTCTGCCTTAATTATAACTTTTTGTATATTACATTTTATCTTTTTCACTTTATTTTAAACTTCTTGAAAACAAAAAATGTATGTGTATTATCCACAGGGCTTTCCATGGGACCTTCCTTACACATAGGTGATATTCAACAAATATTTGTAGAATGCATGGACGAGCTATTGCATAACTCAATTTAATATCCCAGGAATCAAGTTAGAAAATGCAATCATCTCTTAGAACACGGGTCAGCAAAATTTTTCTGCAAATATTAGTAACTATTTTTGTCTTTCCAGGGCAAAACACAAAATCAATGATATTATTAAAGAGTTTATGTAGCAAGAAAGAAAATCGATTTCTGATTTTTTCTTTTTGAAATTCAAAATATAATAATTTAGTACAATTTTTGTAATACAAGTGTAGTAATGAGAAAAAGTGTAATTCTTTTGGAGAGGGATAAGATTTAGCTTATTACAGTTTCCTATCATCAAAATTTTCATCTGTTAATGCTGACCTATAATGAGATTTTGAATATTTTACATATTTACTTTGGAAATTTTTTTTACACAGATAGATACTGTTAAATACTGTAATTCATAAACATATGATTTTAATTGAAAATATTTATTGCTGGAAAGGAATTTATAAAATTCTGTTAGATTCTTCTCATGATATTTGCCTTCTAGCATGTCATTACATTGTAGATTATTTATTTCCAATTGAAGATTAGGTGGAAACTTCTCAATTGCAAAGTTAAGTGGATTTTGAAATACAGAAATTTCTTACATCTAGGTCTAAAAAGTGCTGCTAAAACTGCTTGAGCTCAGAAAATCTACCCACTACAAATTTGTGTGGAAATGGAGATGGCACTTATTGTTTTAATTTTTGACAGGAAGTATATACAGTTGGTTGACCTTATTTGTGATTCAAATGTTAGTTGTCACAAAATGACTGTATTACAGTATATGTTTCACATGTAAGCATGGTTTTGCCTTGTAATTTTAGGTTCAATTTATTACTAAACATTAGAAAGTCTGCAGCAAAATCTAGTTTCTAAAGCCACTTATGCAATAATAGAGACTGAGGGCAGTTTTTCTCATTCAAAAAAGATTTTCAATCTCCATTTCAAAAAATCTCAGTAAAACTTTATCACTGCTAAGCCATCAAATTTCCATATGCTAGAAAAAGTCAGGATACTTAGTTTCTATTTTGACAAAAAAATTCGTAGAACTTGTGAACATTAAATTTACAGGAAGGAGTCAATAGCGTTTACTGTTTCTACTACTAGTTCAATAACATATGCTAGATTCAAGTATTTTCCTCAGATGCTAGATTCAAGTATTTTCCTCAGATGGTGAATAATACAATGACTATTCATAATCTTTAAACACCTTACATTTTCACAAGTTTTATAAATTTGTCCAATAAGTCTTTTTCCAATTTATTGCTATTGGTTTTATCAAATCTTAGCAGATTCCACTTCAGGTTGTACTCTTTAGTGTTTTCAAGTTTTTTAAAAATATTCTAACCTATATTCTCCACAAAATATTCATACAGGTTAATTCTTTTGGCAAGTCAAACTCAACACTGACTCCTCAGATTAACAACTGAGTAGTATTACAGTAGTCCCCCATTATCCATGGTTTCACTTGCTCTGGTTTCATTTATACACCGTCAACTGCAATCCAAAAATATTAAATGGAAAATTTGAGAAATAAACAAATTTAAGCATTAAATTACATGCAAGTCTGAGTATTGTGATGAAATCTCCCACTGTCTGCTCCATCCCGCCCAATACATGAATCATGTCTTTGTCCAGTGTATCCACATTGTGTATGCGACCTGCCCATCAGTCACCCAGTAACCATCTCAATTATCAGATCAACTCTTGGGTATGGTAGTGCTTGTGTTCAAGTTAAGCTTGTTTTACTCAACAATGGCCCCAAAGCACAAGAATAGTGGTGCTGGCAAATCAGATATAACAAAGAGAAGCCTTGCAAAGTGCTTCCTTTAAGTGAAAAGGTGAGTACAGTATAATAAGACATTTTGAGAGAAACAGAAACAACATTTACATAACACTTAGTACAGCATATTGTTATAATTGTTCTATTTTTAGTTATTGTTGTTAATCTCTTACTGTGCCTACTTTGTAAATTAAACTTTATCATAGGTATGTAGTATGGATAGGAAAAGACATAGTATATGTAGGGTTCGGTACTATCCACAGTTTCAGGCACCCACTCAGTGTTTTGGAACAAATCCCCCTTGGATAAGGGGGGACCACTGTACTAAAACCTATCAATTCTTCAAGAGGCAAGGAAAACCACTCAAAAGAATTTTCCTTGTATTTTAATTAACTATTAATGCAATTCCAATGTCCTCACCATTTTAAGCAACTGTTCTTGCCAAAAACTAACAATCTTAAACGAATTTATTTTTGCTGCACAATTTCAGTAAGTCACTATCAATAAGTGCCTTTCCTTGCTGGGCTAATAAATGAACCACTCAGAAATTTACTTTAGTTGCAACTTTATTTTCATTTTTTTTGTGGAGAAATACTGTTGTGATAAAATACTCCATTTTAAATGTCCTAAGTTTTCTGTCACATACCTATGGCATGGGAATATTATATCAAATGCTTGGTCTAATAATGTTGATGTGTATTGTATTTTATTTTTTAGTACAACTATAATGTCATTACAAAGATTTAAGATCTATTTTGACAACAGATAAACAATCCACATTTCACTGTGCTTTAAAAACACAGCACTCATAGTCTACTGTTTTGTTTTGTTTTGTTTTGTTGTCTTGACATGACCAATATGCACTGGTATTAAAACAAATAAAAGATCACAGTGAGTCATCATAAGTTCCAACATAGGAAACACTGTCAAATTATAACTTCACTGCAATTTACATTGCAACAAGCAGCAGTTTGAAGCAGTAAGTGCCGTCTACAGTTTCGGCCACAACTGCTCAACTGTGCCTTATGGCTCAAAACAGCCATTACCCAGTATAGAAAGGAATGAGCATGGCTATGTTGCAATAAAACTGAAATTCTAATTTCATATGATTTTCACGTCTTGAAATATAATTGTTTTGATTATTTTCAAAATGTAAAAATGTAAAAAATCTTCCTAACTCAGGAGCTCTACAAAAAAATAGGTGATGGGTTGGATTTTGCCTTGCAAATCAGTTTGCCAACTTTATTTTAGGATTTGACTTTTAGGAAATACTGCTTGCTTACTTAACTTTATTCCCAATGAAACTATTTATAGTAAATTCTCTGGAATCATGTGTGATGGAGAAATAGAATATTCCTCCCTTTTTTATTGAGATATAATTGACATATAACATTATATTGGTTTCAGGTGTACAACATAATAATTCAATATATGTATGTTTTAAGAAACGGTCACCACAATTAGCCTAGTTAACATCCATCTGAATATTCTTCTTAAGGAGACATTACTCAGTTGGCAGGTACACCAGAGTATAATACAATATAATATAAAAAGTTAGAATACAGCAAACATGCTTCACACGTAGGCTACTGAAGCCAGAAAGTACTGGTGGACTTTGTACTGCCTCAGTACTTTTGTTGTAAAAACCCAAGACCATTACATTAACTATAATTAGAGATTTTAGGTAAGCCAACATATTATTTAAACATTTCACTTAATTTGAGAAAGAAACCCAGGACACTGCCAAACCTGGGCAGTGTGTCAACAGCAGCCTTTCAGAACGCCAACCCCTCCTACCTTTATTGAGGCCCCAGAATGGGTCTTTTAGGCACTGTCCCAGTTTTCATCTCTTATCTATGTTATTTAGGGCCTCAGAGGCAGCCCAGGAAGAACAGGACTGGCTGGGTCTCCAGGTCCTCGAGGAGCAAAGGGTTCATCAGGCCTGCCAGGAAACCCAGGAGTTCTAGGCCCAAAGGTATTTTAATGTTTTGTTCTGATGCATGAGCAGTATTGACCGTCCTTACTGGCACTGAGTTCATAGGCTAGATGACAGGAGGGTAAGATTAATAGCTTTTAATAAATCTGGCTAATAATAAAAACACATTAGAAAGAAAGTGAAGGGGGTGGGGCCTTGACATACCCATTTCCCATGATAGCCACAGTACATGAAATTTGCCAAAACAATTTATTAACCCAGGACTGGTGGTGCTTTAAAAAATACTCTTTGATTCATGTTGTTTTTTCTTCCCTCTCCTTCATCCACCTTCTCCAAAACAGAAAAATCTTATTTATTTCCAGATACATACTTTCTCATATATACTTTCTGTTCCTCAGCCTGAAAATAACCAGCCAATTAAGTGTATAGATTATTTCTTAGAGTCATAGTAACTAAGTCTTGCATTAGCATTCACTGCAGAGTACTGTCACATGTCAATAGGCTTTCCAAACAAACCTCTCTTAGAAATATCTCAATGCAGAATTGACCCAGACAACTGAGACACTGCTCCAATGTCTAAACCTATTTCATAAAAGCCTAGGATTAGGACATTGACGCCCCCTTATTACCTCTTAATTTGATTTTCACAGTTCCACTTTGAAAGAATTTTCAGATCTTCCCACCTATATAGGTAAACTGAAAATGACGACCCAGTTGCTTACTGTTTACAATTTGTGCCCACTGTTAATGTTCATATCATGAATATCCCTTTCCACTAAAATTCAAGGTAGCTGAGAAAATACTAAAACTAGGGAGAAAAAATAAGAAAGAGCCCTACCTCTTAAGTGTGAATCTGCAATAAAAATAACCTATATTTGTCAAATCCCAAAGCTGTATCTTTGTTTCAAGACAGTGGATGATAATCTTAAAGAATCTTTAATCAAAGTCTGCCAAGCATTATGTTTTCATTAACCTATTTCTAAACTCCACCTGATTCCTAAGTTTATTTTTAGAAATGGTGTGGAAGATACTGCAATTCTCATTTTAAAAACAAGATAAAAATAAATTTAAATTTTTTGATTTTTAAAGCTAAAATAATGGTGATGAACTATTTCTTTAAATTGAACTTTTAGGTGATAAAGAGGGCTTACATCAGAAAAACATTGGGAAACAGATAATGGACATTTCTTAGTGATAGAATCGAAAAGATAATTGTGGCAAAAACCAGGGTTCACACTTCAGGAGGCTCCATTCTGTTTCTGGTATCAGATAGCTGATATCTCTGTGTATGAAAGAAAACACAGCAAAAGAATATCAATTCAAATAAAATACAAGTTTCCTCACATACACACCATACCCTCATTATTCTCTCTGGAGCCCCACTATCCTCCTTCTAGAGTTATATGTAACCCCTTCCTTCCACTTTTCACATTTATGACTACAGTCTCTGGAATTTTTTCCCCACTGCTATACTTGTTTATTATTATCAAGTATTATTTATGTGGAAAATATTGGTGAGGAGAATGATCATGCAGAATTTGATTTCCCCAGTACTATGTATGCCTAGAGACGGGCCTGCATTTGGGTTTTATTTAAAAGCCAATATTTTTAGAGGTTCTAAAGCCAAGATCACCTTTCTTTTTCTGTCCATAGGGTGAACAGGGGTTACCTGGTCAACCTGGAATTCAAGGTAAAAGAGGTCACCGAGGAGCACAAGGTGATCAAGGACCATGTGGAGAGCCTGGTCTGAAAGGGCAGCCTGTATGTGCCAACTCAGAAATTCACTAAGCACTTATTCGGCAGACTAGGCCACCATTGCACAATAATGATTATTGTATCTATTCCCATTGCAGGGAGAACATGGTATTCAAGGCTTGACAGGTTTCCAAGGATTCCCGGGCCCCAAAGTATGTTTACATAATTTCCTGTTAGTCTTCTAGCTAGCTAGAAAAAAAGATGTTGAAATACCAATATTATTTAGTCTCTGACTTGAGACTAAATCTTTTTTTAGATGTTTTCAACATCTTTTTAATCTGCAAATTTTCAGTTTGTACAGTTATATATTTGAGCTTTGAATATGTTAATTATAACACTTATGTACCTATATATTTTCTTAGCAATTTTATTGAATTATTTGCTTTTGTCCCCTCTCATTTCATTTTCCCAAACATTTTATTATGAAAATTTTCAAACATAACAACAAAGTTGAGAGTGTGAATGAACACCCATATACCTATGACCGAGATTCTACCATTAACATTTTATTCTACTTGCTTTCTCATGTGCCTATCCATCTATCCATCCCTTTCCCCCTCTCTTAATCCATTTTTGGTGTATTTCAAAGTAAGCTGGAGACCTCAGTATAATTTCTCCAAAATACTCCAACATGTACATCATAAACTATCATGTTCCATTTTCTAGAGGGCAATTCTTAGTATTTTGGTACAAGATTGTTTCATTTGTAAAGTGTTCCTACAGAGCTAAAGATTTTGACTTGTTGTTTTTTATTGTGTTTGTAGGGTCCTGACGGTGATGCTGGCGTTGTTGGCATCACAGGTCCTAAAGGTCCTATTGGACAGAGAGTAAGTGTAAAGTCATTCTACCTGCCCAGAAATTGTGATTTTTTTTCCCTCATTGTATGAATTAGGGTTAAAAGTTCTAAAATTAATACAGTCCAATTAATGACTTAATAAAATGACTTATAAGATAGAAACTCACTAGAGCACATGTAGAGGTTCTCAGCCTTTAGTTCATGTATTAGTTTGAGCAAAAGACCCCAGAGACCACCCGTACTTCCCGGTTCTTAGTTTAAAAAAAAATCATCAGAATGAATGTGAATACTGGATAATGTATTTATTCACTCACACTAGGAACCAAAGCATAATGCAGTTTCAGGTTATAAGCACTTATACAACCAAAGACCACCCCCATGCACCACCTGGAGGAGGCAGGCCCAGGACCAGAGCTTCTCAGACCACACTTTGAAAAACATTTCCCAATAGCTGTGTTTCCCCAGGTCAGGGGTGGGTGTCCCCAGAGAGTGATGAGGAACTGCTTAAAGACTTGCAAAGACCGGGTCTGAAGAACTCCTGCTAGCTGTTTAGTGCCTGGAATTGCAAACTGTAAAGAATGTAATTAGGATAGATAAGCCACCAGCAGCTACTGGTTATTGTTTTGGGTTTTTTTTTGGGGGGGGGGTTGTTGTTGTTTTTGCTTTTTTGTTTTTATTAACCATAATCCTAATTAATAAGATAATCTATAAAACTGAAAAGAAAAAATAAGCTATAAAAATGCCAAACAATAGTTTGACTGTAGTAGTAGCACCTCTATGACCAATAGCAGCTGCTTAGGCAGGGGTGGAGAGAGTCGGCAGACAGATGAAGAAGGAAAGTACAGGACAGATGCAGGAGAAAGGAATCCTGAAGAAGAATTTAAGTTTGGAAGCTGTGGGCTTGGGTGCAGACGTGGCCAAGTCCAAGAGCCACACCGTGCACAACCAGTCCCGAAAATTGCACAGAAACGGCATCAAAAAAACCCCGATCACAAAGACACGAATCTCTTAAGGGGGTGGACCCCAAGTTCCTGAGGAACATGCGCTTTACCGAGAAGCACAACAAGAAGGGCCTGGAGAAGATGCAAACCGACAATGCCAAGGCCATGTGTGCACGGCTGAGGCCATCAAGGCCCTCATAAAGCCCAAGAAGGTCAAGCCCAAGATCCCAAAGGGCGGCAGCAGCAAGCTCAGTTGACTTGTCTGCATTGCCCACCCAGACTTGGGAAACGTACTCCAGCCCGCATCGCCAAGGGTCTCAGGCTCTTCCGGGCAAAGTCCAAGGTCCAAGGCTCAAACCAAGACCCCAGCTCCAGCTGAGACTGCAGCATTCTGCCCCCCAGCTCAGGCTTTGGCTCCCGAAGGTGCCCCCATGAAGGTTCCAGAGTAGAGGCCTCTGTCTGCAGATGTGAGGACAGAACGACTGATGTGACCTGTGAGCTGCTGTCTGCATGGGGCTGGTGTCCTCCTATGCTATTTGGACAAATAAATCTGAGGCAGGATCTGTCAAAACAAAACAAAACAAAAAACAAAAATCTTGACAAACGAAAACCACTGTCTTGTGCAGAATATTAAATGAAAAGTCAAATTTTTTAAATTCTACACCCCTTCCCTAAGTCTTATAATAAATTATTTCCAATAACACAAAGAACAGTGTTGTCATTGGAAGTGTTTATTTTAAAGACCCTTCTCAACATTCCTTCAGGTGCATATTTATTGGTTATTTTTATAATTCCTGAAGAACCATGGAAAGTTTGTGCTTTTATGTGAAGTCCAATTTTTGATTATCCACAAGTGGGTTATATGGATAGGCGTCTCTATGATAAATATTGCTTTAAGTTCTTACATATATTAAGTTCTCCAATAATTAAATCCATTCACTCTAATTTTATTAAGTTCCCAATTAATTAAATCCTATCTTGGTATTATCAAAGAGATGTTAGCTGCCTGCCTCGCATCTGTCCTCAGCAGTGTCTTACCAAGTGCTGGGCCTCTGTAGGACAGGATCTGAAATTATATTGCTTTGCAGCTCCAGAAATTTTATCAGCTCACTAATAGTAAAGTTCTGGTAATTAGCTCACAAATACTATTTTATAAGGGCAGATGTTCCTTTGTTAAGCCATTACAGAGACAAAAGAAAAGCCTTGGTAAGTTAATATTTAGCAGAAGACTATTATGTACCAGGTACTGGTGTATAGTTTGTGTCTCATATTGTTTAATCATTAAAATCCTGTGAGATATGCTATTATCCCCATTTTGCAGGTGGGAAACTAAGTCTCTGAAAGGTAATTTGCTCAAGGCCACATATGGCTAGTATGTAGAGGAGCCAAAATTTGAATCCACATCAGACTGACCAAAGAATATGTTGGAAAGTTTCTTGTTAATTGCATAAGTAAGATATGGAACAGATATTAAGTGATCTAGTGCCTAGTTCTTGCCCAATAATTAATAAATATTCAATGATTAATTTAATTTAATTAATTGAAGTAGGAAATCTGGATTAACTGTCCTTCATTTCAAAGATGTATTTATGTAGTTAACTGATACCAACCATAGTACTTCATCTTTTGGACACATGTAGATAAACATAGACAATTTTTGGCTATTTTGGTCTACTTTTTCTGGAGTCCATGTATACCTCTCCATTCTTTTAACAAATCATTATTTCAGAGAGTCAGGTCACAGTCAAATTTATTAGATTGAAGCTTTCTTGACTTTTTTTCAGTGATAAGCCAGTCTGGAGGATACATTTGATTAAGTTAAGAAATCAAGTCTCTTCATTTGATTGTGATCTTTGAGATTTGGGTACCAAATTTACAAATTATTACTTAATAGTCAATCTTTGTGTTTAAAAGTTATTCCACTAAATTACTTTTGGAGTAGCAGGCCCATTTCTTTCATTCTGGCCCAACTTAACATTAAAGCTATCTGTCGATGGACTGCATGGCATTACAATTACCTCAATTGATAGTATTTTCTGTACCTTGGCAGAAATTAGAAAAGAGATAGCCTGTTAGACATCTACATTTATATATTCCAGGTTAAGTGTGAGCCAGAAAGTCTGACATTTACAGCCAGTGGAAGTGGGAGTGGAGGTTGAGGGAAATAACTAAAGCCCGTAGTTTGTATTCATGAAGAAATGATAGGTCCTATACCTGGTTTGGGAGGATTTGAACAGAGAGCCAGCTTATACAAGGTTATATTAATAATCAAATAACAGCTTATAACTTCAAAGTCATTTGTCACGTTTAATTCTCACAATGGCCCTATGAAGTAGGCATTCTTATTTTATGGATGAAGAAAGTGAAATTTAGTTGCTCCCTGGTTCTTTCTCATGCTTTCTCTCAATTCCATACTGTATGCCACTCAAACATCTGTTCCTTCAACATCTATAAAGAAATTTATTCAAAATGTTGTTTATCTTTCTATGTAGTCTTTTTATATAAAGTAATTGGATTTTTTATGTAATGACACACATATAAAATGGTATCATTGAAGTTACCAACACATAAAACTTGTAATGCTGATTTATCAGTTTATTAGAAATTATACTGATGTAACTCTCCTGAGAGGAAACTATAATAATATACAGAATTGTGTCACACACTATACATCAAAATTATAATACTATGATATCTGCTAATACTATAAAATTGTATAATAAAAACTGAAATTATGCAGACATGGACTATTTTGCCATTGCACAAGAAATTTTCTAGAATTTTTCTGAATTATACTGGCAGTGAGACTGACTGTTTTCCTTTTACTCCAACAGGGAAACACTGGCCCTTTTGGCAGAGAAGGTATAACAGGCCCAACTGGTAGAACTGTAAGTTTGTCACAATACAGGTCTTTCTTTTTTCTCTTTTATATATTTCTTTTCTTTAATCTTATTTCTAGAGTATTCCACAAAGGATCACCCTGGGTATCTGAGAAGCAAAGGGCAAAAATAGAGGTACATTTTCCTCTAGAAGGCGATTCCTGAGAACTTAGAGATCATGTGTGTAATGAAGAAGGTGTATATAGTGAGGTAGGCATTAAAACTGGAGTTGAGAAAGGAAACTAGAACTGGGGTTCGGGAGGAAGGGTTGAGTATCATAAGCATAGAGGTGATCACTAAAACAATAAAAAGAATCAGTTTTCTGAAGGGAAGAGCATAGCAGATGTGTAGACAGCTAATCTTTGAATTCTTGGAAGCGCCCACTATAAAGGAAAGAAATAGTCGGTGGGAATAGGATAACCAGAAAAGCACATGGTTAAGATAGATGAGATTCAAGAAAGGAATAGTTAACAGTGATCTTAAAGAATACATTGCAAAAGATAGAGTACAAATTGCAGTGAGGAGGAAAGTAGATGAAAATATTTAATAATAACTTCTCTCAAATTCTTACAGCAAACTTTTGGAGTAGATGTTATTTTTTCCATTTAAGACGTAAGGAAACAGCTGAAGTTGATAGAATTTACCTAGCTATTCATGGTGAATCAGCTAGTGAATTACATAGCTGATGTTTCTTATTTCAGGACCAATGCTCCTTCCGCCCATTCGAGATATGTTTGGAGAGGAAACTGTGACAGTTAGTATATGCCAGTGCCTTAAGAAAGTTGAGGAGGTGGTCATGGGAGAGTTTTACAATACTACCGTATTTGCCGGCGTATAAGACGATTTTTTGGCCCTGAAAAATATGCCTCCAAGTGGGGGGTCATCTTATACGCCAGGTACACTTCAGATAGACTGCCCATAGTGCTTGCCCCGTGCCATAGTGGCCTCCCGATGCCCGCCCACTTCATTCCACATACCGTTCAGGCATCAGCAGCGCTGCTGGGTGTATGCTCAGCTGTTATGCGATTTTGCTGTTATGCGATTTTACCACGCTCGCAAAATCGCACACAGCCGACCATATAACAAACTCTGTATTTTGAGTGGAAATGTTAGGGGGTCGTCTTATACGCCGAGTCGTCTTATACGCCGGCAAATACGGTAATAATAATGTAAACATACAATAACAGGAGCACAATAGAAAGAGGCAAATTGAGACTTGGAAAGAAAATATTCGTTCCCTGCGGGAAATCAATATTTTCAGTCATCTGAAAGTGTTATATAGAGAGAAACAGGTTTTTAAAACATAAAATTGAATGCTTCCATTTTATACTTTTAAGTATAACTATTCTCTTCAGTAAATTTAGGGAGGAATTCACCAAAAAAGTTACTGGATTTTTAATTTTAAAAAATCAAATGTATGACTCAACATTTCTCTAAACTTTCAGGATTTACCACTCAGAGCTACGTATATAGACTCAGTGGGAGATTGTAAGTGGGAGAATTCTCATATTTCAGTGGGTGGTTCTCCAGCAAACTAAGGAACACACACTGTTCTAATTACACTCCTCTGTGATTGTACTCCTCTGTCCAAAATGTGAAATATTAATTGGTGAAGGAAGATATGATAAAGAAATAGCTCAATTAAAATACATTACTGTGTTTTATATATAAATATATATATATATGGCTCAATTAAAATACATTACTGTGTTTTATATATAAATATATATATATGGCTCAATTAAAATACATTACTGTGTTTTATATATATATATATATATATATATATATATATATATATATATATATATATATAGTTCTTTAGGAGCCTTATGATATTCAGCATACACATCAACTTTTTTTTCATATTCTATTTTTTTCATTGTAAGAAGAAACTTCTAAGAAAAGTTTATTATGAGAAAATAAGCATTTGAGAATGAAAAAATATTGTGAAAAAAATAGTGGTGGTGGGATGAGGGACTTGCTTTTCTGAATGAGAAAACAATACTTCCAAGTTATTATAAGTGAAACTATATCATAGCACAAAGAAGTAAACAAATAGATCAGTGTAACAGGCTAGAGCCCAGAATTAGATCTCAGAATATACAGGAATTAAATTATATCAAAAATGGTATCATTAGGATGATTTGGGCTGCAAGTAATAGGAACCTTGAATCAAACTGCTTTATCAGTAAAAAAAAATTATGTCACATTATGGAAAGCCCAGAAGAAGGAGGGACTTAAGATTTGGTTGGTTTAGTGACTCAATCATGTTATCCAAGACCAGATTCTTTCTGTGTCTCTACCTGCCATCCTGAATGTTGGCTTCATAATTGAGTTTGTAGCAAGATGGCTACAATCTCTCAGGAGTCACATCTAAACATAATTACCCAAAGTAAAAAGTAATCTATAGCCCTACCTTGGGAAAAGTACAACTTTTTCTAGAAGTCTTCCATTGCATTTTTCTTATGTCTATTGACCAGGATTTAGCCACATACCTACCCACAAGGAAGGGAGATGGATTTACTTTTAGTCCCACCACTACTGTAAGAAACTGGAACCAATTATATCCTTTTTTTTTTTATTCCCAGATGAAGTTTTACAGATTTTAACATGAAAAAACAAAAAGTAAAACAAAATCTTAGGAAAACTAACTAGAAAACTAACGTATAGCTTAAGGGTTGGAGAGACCTTTTATATAAGATAGTAAATCTGAAAACTATAAAAGAACAGAAAATATATTTGCATATTTGAAAATTTTTTAAATTTGTATTAAAAAGATTCCATAAATATTCCATAAAGTCAAAAATTAATATAAATTGGGAAAAAGTAATTGCAAAGCATATAACATATAACGGGTTAATGTATAGAGAGCTCTTACAAATTGGCATTAAAACAATAGAAAACTCAATAGAAAAATGAAGGCAAATTCAAAAGATCAATATTTATTTGAAAAAATGCTCTCTTAACTTAGAGAAATGCAAACTAAAGTAATAATGAGATATTACATGAAACCTCTCAGAAGGTGGATATAAGGAGAATGGTACTCTTGTTTATCACTAGTAGAAATGTGAATTACAGTCTTTATGGAAAGACACTTGTTAAAATATACACACATACATATACCCTTTGACCAAGCACTTCCACTTAGAGGACTTTGTCCCATAGAAATAAAAGCACTCAATACACTGAGGAAATTTTACAGAGATTTTTTTTCACAGCACTGTTAATATTGACAAAAAAGCTTGATATCACATAAATGTAAAGAAATGGTTAAGTAACATGTGGTCTAGCCATTTCATGGAATATAATGCAACTATTAAAAAGTATTAGTTTGGGCCGGCGGAGTGGCTCAGTTGGTTTAGAGCTCACTCAAGAATTTGAGCTCTGAGCAACAGCGGTTCAATTCTCGGCCTGAGTTGAGCAGCCGCTGAGCTGCCAACAGGTGGCAGAGAGCTCAGCTTAAAAAAAAGAAGAAGAAAAAAGTATTAGTTATATCTAGTTTGGCTGACTTGCAGTTGTTTTATGGTGTATTTAAATATGAAAATCTGATACATAGGAGACACTATAACATGATATCAGTATTAAAAATGTGACCAATCACCCATACACATGTAAATATGTTGGTGAATATTTGATTAGGAAAAAGTGGGAAGAGATATGTACCAAGTTGTGAATACTGGGTTGGAGGTGGTGCAGGGTGTAAAAAAAAAGTTCTGTAAAGATACCTTTAAAATCAATTTTTAAAAGTTAACATCCTAGTTTAAAATGGGTTAAGGACAAGATAGGAAAGACAAAAGAAGTAATATAAATGGTGAATAAATAAGATAGTATTTTTACTTTGCAAGATAAATGAAAAATGATAGTATATGGCACATATCAGAAGAAGTATACACTCCCATATATTGCAGGTGTGCACGCAATTTCGAACATTCAGGACAACTCTAAAGAGCATGAGGATATCTATCAGTGTTTTTTTATCATGACAAAAATTTAAAAATATCTAATAGGAAACTCAATAGAGTATTATAGTTTATTAAATACTAGGTGTAGTAAATACTATATAATACTTATAAGTATCTAGAACAATGTGGATTGATAGAGAAGAATATTCATGTTATATTGTGAAGGTATAAATTCAGGCTACAGAAAAGATGAATCTATTATCTCATATTTTTACTAACAAACAATGCATATACAATATCCACAAAGATGAACACAAAAATATTAGCAGGAGTTTCAAAAGTATTAGGTCCACCCAAGAACAGCAGGCTACACATTCTTTTCAAGTATACATGGAGTAGCCACCAAAATAGACTATATTTTGGGTCATAAAACAAATTTTACTAAACTTAAAAGAACTGGCATTCTATAAGGTCTAGAATGGCCATAATGGAATTAAACTAAAAATCAGTAAACTAGAAAGACAATAGGAAAATCTTCAAACACTTAAATATTAAACTACACACTTCTAAATAACCCATGGATAAAAGAGGAAGTTTCAAAACATTAGAAAATATTTTGAACTGAATGAAAGGGTATCCAATGTATCAAAATTTGTGGGACGCAGCTCAGAAGGAGCAATAGAAAGAGAAGAAAAAAGAGAAAGTGGAAAGCACCCTGGAAACAAGGCTCTCAAAGGCTCAGGGAAACAAATATTAGAAGAATTTAACCTGTTAATTTCCTTTCAAAATTCTTTTGTGTTGGACTGCCAATCAGCTGTTTGACTTAATTGAATGGGTAAGTAGCTTGTTATCCTTGTCTCACTTTAAGGTGGAGCTAAGGATAGCAAAACAGACATGATGAATCAATAGATTGTTTTTGTTTTTGTTTTGCTTTGCCTTACCTAGGAAAAGAAAACTAGAATTTATATAAATTTATTAAACAAGTCTTGCTAGATAGAAAAAAAAACAAAAATCAATTGTTACATTTTCTCTATATAGCCTCAAATACATTTGATAAATATCAATAACTCTAAACATCTTTTTTTTTTCTTTTAGGGACCCAGAGGTGAAAAAGGCTTTAGAGGTGAAAATGTAAGTTTAACTAAAATTGTGGTTATAGTATCACTTGTCTCTAGGCAACAGCTCCATGAAAGCAAGGACCTTGTTTGATTTGTTCATTATGTCTCTGATACTTGTGGAATAAAAATAAAATTTTAATTTTCAGGAAGTAGAACCAACACGTGGTATATAGCAGAGAAACCTGATAAACCCTAAACATGTTCACGAGCCTGCTAGTCACATACCTCCCAGATCCCTGTGTGAAATGGAATACTTGCAGGAAAGAAAGTGTGAGCCCTCTTCAGCAGGACCAGAACAAGAGCACTGGCTGGTTGCTTTAGGTTTATACCTACTATGTCCAGTCAGCACCCGCAAGGGCTGCCAAGCAGAAGTTAATCGTTAGTTGTATATTTCAGCCAATTGGAAACAGTGGTGAAAGGATGGGCAAAGGGTACATAGCACTTTGGGGACCTAAATGTCTTGTACTGGCACTATTTCCTACTCTTCTAGGAAGTTAATTATTCTGAGTTAAAGAGGATATTTTTGTGAAGAGCCTGCTTTCCCAGCAGAGATCCTGCTGAACTTATTAAAGCAGCAGCCACAAACAGAGGGCAGGCGTACAGTGAAATGAGGGGGGTTGAAACCAAGAACAGAAGACACATAAGAATAAACTGAAAGATAGCAATCAAGTTTTTGATTAAAAGGTAATAAGACTACATAGTGACTACTGAGATTTCTGCTTTTCACGGCGGGGTATGCTTGGGGTTAAGCATAAGTAAATTGCAAGTTATATTAATTAGTGGAAGAATGGAAATTATGTGATTTCAGATAGTCTAAGAATCCCCAAAGGTCATTTAAAATAGATGTGTTTATTTTGCAGAAATGTGGCCCTCACATTTTCTCAGCAGACTTACTGCAGCAGGAAGCAAGGGTGTATGTACACAATGAAGCCATATCCCCTAGGAGGAGTGAAAAGAGGAAGAAAAAGTAGAAAGGCTTGGAATTAGCCCATTTTCTAGACCTGTGTCCAGCTGCCTGCCTGACGTACCCTCTCCAAGTACTGTGACTGGAACATTAGCTTTCAGCAGGCCTAGGAAACCTTGAGTACCTATGACAGTGTCACAAGCATTTCATGTGGAAAAAAACAATTCAGTGGCTCTGAAGGATTACAAATTCAGTAGATTATGCCTGCAATCTTAGGTTGCACTCATAGGAATACAATATCCAGAATAAAGCAGGTAGTGGCACCGGATAGGTCATCCCCAAAGGAGAACATGGACAAAATTAAAGCACCTTCAGAGGAGGACGCTCAGGCTGGTGATGTCCTGGAAAAACCAGTGGAAATATCTGGGCTGTTTAGCCTTTGTCAGACTGCAGCCTGGTCATCCCTCTCCTTGTTGTCTTTGCTGTCACTTCCCGGCTTTAGCACTTGACCTTTTCTCACCCATACTATTTATCCCTGTAATTCCTACTTATCTTGAGGTTTCAATTTAAAGATAATTTGTTCGGGATGGACTTGCTGATGTTTTAGCCTCATGCTGCTGCCACCCAGGACCAAGTCCAATCCCTGCAACTATTCTTCCGTTCTTTACTTAAATGTGGCCTTATCAGAGACTTTTCCTGACTAGCCTATGTCAGATAGCAATGCCCACCGCCCCCCCCACGTCCTGCTTGAGGCCCCATTTTTCCCCCACCTGTTTACTTACCACCTGACATGTTACATACTTCTTTGGTTTTCTGCTTATTATGTCTCCCCTCGCTAGAATGTAGGCTCCATGACACAGTCATTTTATCCGTTTGTTTTATTGCTGTGTCCCCAACACCTAAGAAAGCCTTATAATGGATGTTCAATAAATATTTAATGAATTATTAGCAAGTGAATTAGAGAAGGCTTGAGGTGTTAGGATATGATAGTTAACTTCAAATATTTGAAAGGTTGCCTTAGAAAGAGAGAATATATGTAACTCTAGAAAATAAAATTTAAATGATTTAGTTATTGCATGGAATTTTCGGTTTCTGTGCTAAGCTCCCTGAGAGATGGTGAGAGCTTCTTGATACCAACTAATTCCTAGTCTATCATAGTACCTGGCACATAATTATCACAAAATAGGTACTTATTGACTAAATGTATGGAATGCTGAGGCCAATTTCAATATTATAATGAGGTATCTAATATAATAATGAAGGGCTTTAAAACAAGATACTTTTGTGAGGTAGTGAGTGTCTGTCACTAAAAGCCTACTGACAATTTCTCTGTGTGACTAGACTGATATTCTTGCACTGAGTAGGGAATTAGAATATACCTTTAAGAGCTTGTGATTCTGCATAAAAGAAAAATAAATCAGCCCCCATAAAAGAACGAACAAAGTCATAGAACACAATGAAGGGTGCTTTAAAGTAGAGGTTAATTCCCGTCAGCTCAAATTACTATTCTGAATCCATCTACTTCCCTCATTCTTCGTCACTGACACTCTTGTCCAGATCGCAGGACGTCTCCTCTGGACTTGTCTTCTTTCCATTTCCTTCACTTTTCCCCACTGTAGTCCATTCCCTGCATAGCAGCTGGAGTGATATCATTAAAGTATAAGTCAGATTATATCACTCATCTCTTTAAAACCTCCTATGACTCCTTTTTGCACTTAGAATAAAATCTAAATTCCTCCCTTTGTCTACAATGCCCAGTTTACTGCTTCGATGTCATGATGTACCACTTTCCCCTTGCCAACTATGATGAACTTCTCTCTATTTGGGACATGCCTTCTTTTTACCTAGAAAATTCTTTCACCTGCTCTTCAGATGACTGGTTGTTACCTCATTATTCAGGTGTTCAGATATCATCTTAGAGAAGCCTTCCATGACCAGCCTGTATTAATTATTCCTGGTCATTCTCTTTTGCAATATCTTGTTTTGTTTTCTTCATAGTGGCTAGCACTATTTGAAATTGTTTGTTTTCTGTCTTTGCTAGAATGTAGAATTTCATGAGAGTAGGAAACTTTGTCTAAAACACTGTGTCCATAACAGAACCTGTCATGTAGGAGGCAATTTTGAGAATACTGTGTACTATGCCCTAAAATTAAATGCATACTGTTTCCTAAAATTAAAAGTTAGCAGCTGTTTTGAATTCTAGCTGGTAAAATAGCATATCCTGAATTATCATACTTATTAGCCTTTCGCTCTGTGGCTACCATAGTTCTCTTCATAATTAAGGTACAAACTTCCAGTATCCAAGGAGGAGGGGTGCAATAGCAATTGGTGTAGACAATAAAATTAGCTGCTGAAAAAATGACTAATTAGCACATTAGAATTATGAGTTTATTCTATTTTTATTGTTGAATAACTGGTATTAAATATCTTTCTATCCCCTTTTCCTTTGATTCCATTATGGTAGAAGGAGCTTTTAATTCCTAGAGATCATCTCCAATTAACTTAATCCATAGAATGTGTAGCTAAACCTTTCTGCTTTCATTCTATGGAAAAGGATGTTAACGTTTTTTATATTCCCATTAGGACTTTTTCAGTATATTCTACAAGTGTGTTTTCTCTAACAGAATGGTTTAAATAATTGACTGTCTAAAGACCCCTAATTAGCTACTGTGTTTCAGAATGTAGTATCTTCAACAGGGTCAGTCTCAGATATATCAGTGCATGGACATTTTTGGAATGAATTTTATTATCCAAGATTTATTGTACTGAGACAAATAAGACAGTTCACTCTTTGTACAAAGATCAGAATCACTGGCTTTATAAATCTAATTTTTAAATTTTCCATGAAGCTGATGTAAGAATTTTTGAAGCTGTGATGTTGTTACCAAATTGTATACCAATACCAAATCATGATTCAAAAAAAAGTTACAGCTCATTAAACAACACATGAAAAGTCTCTCTTTTAGCCTAAGTTTGAGAGTTTGGGTTACTTGGTTAGGAAGCTGCATGTCTTCTGCAATTTCCCATTACAAACTCTAGTATTCATCCCAAATAGGTCTTCTCCACCACGGATAAGGAGAAGACCTGTTTCTGTATTGCCATACATGCAAGAGTTCCTTTCCTTTCTATTCCATATCTGTTTCATGTCTGCCTGCCTATGTGCTATTTTAAAAATAAGTCCTTGGATTCATGTATATATATATATTGGGTTATGGGAAAAGTCATGACACATTTTTGCAACAAAAACATGGAAAAAGTAAGTCATGACTTTTCTGACAACACTAAGACCCTAAGTGTGTGTGTGTGTGTGTGTGTGTGTGTGTGTGTGTGTATGTATATATACACTGAACTGAACTGAAGCAGAGTTTTGTGACATTCTGAGAAAACTTCCTAGTAGATAGTGTGTAGAATTACCCACGCTCACCCAACTTCAAAACTGTTGCGTTAATGGCAAATTAATCTTGAAAGGTTATAAAAATCTCCTGGATTCTATGAGGCCCCAAACTTTTAGAACATAATTAATTTTTGAAGTAAGTAATACAAAGACGATTGCCAGAAATAATGGGATACAATTAATAAAAAAATTAAAATTTTCAACTCATAGCAGAATAATATCCTAATGTCAGTCATGTGAAAAGGACTTTGACAAAATGTTACAACTTGAAATATATAACTTAAAGCCATAGAAGCAGGAAAAGAGAACAAAACTTCCAGCACAAATTTTTAGATTAGCTGCTTCATTGGGTTTTTTTTTTTTGGCTTATAGTTTAAAGCCATAAAAGTAGAAAAAAATATGCAGAGCATAATCCCAGCATGCACTTTTAGATTAGCATGTTATTTAATGAAAACCAATAAAATGTTGAAAAATCCCATTGACATTTTCTCAAATATTACTTCTAAGTTAATATGTCTTCACAATTCTTGATTAGCAGAATTATTGTATTTGCCTCTGATTTGAAAATGAACAGGATGGTTTAAACATTATGAAGAAAAACTAAGCTATAAGAAATTACATCCTAAATATTAATTAATTAAGAATTTAAAGCTTATATGTTTATAATTTCTTTAAAATCTTAGTATATTTCATTCAAGTGAAAAATTATGAAACTCTTTTAATTCAAATACACATTCCCCTTACATTCACACAGACGTCAAATTTGAAATTCTCAACTTGTATTCCCTCTTTCTCCAGATCAAAACATGAGGAAAAAAATGGATAAAAGGCTTGAAAATTACAATTCTTAAGTGAACCTTGGAGATTATCTTCACCAAATGTGTTATGTTACCGTTAAGATATATGAGACCCAAATGTGCTGCAACTCACTCAAGGACATACAGCCAATTAGGTGCAGAGACTAGGTTTCCCAGTTCCCATGCCATTGTGCTTTTCTATTAATCATAGCACCCCTCAAAAAATAAGAGGCGCAACTTGGGTGAGGAAGATGGTGTATACATACCCCTCACCTATATTAAGATTAGCCCAGCCAACCACTGAACAGGTTTCACATAAGTAGATTCCTGATTTCTAGTTATCCCCTATGCCTTATAATTCATTGATTCTGTCCTAATTATATTATTCTAATAAATCGTATTTAATATTACTAAACTCCCAATTAAACCTTCTAAACTGGTGGTTCTCAACCAAAAGCCATTTTTGCCCCACCCTCCAAACCCCCAGGAGACACTGGCAATGTGTGAGACACATTTGGTTGTCACAACTGAGGAAAAGAGAGAGTTTCTAGTGGCATCTAGTGGGTAGAGACCAGAGATGCTGCTAAACATCCAAAATGCAAGCTTCATGATTTATAAACGAGAGAGGGAAGCTCTCTGTAGTTATGCCAGCTTCAAGTAAAGACCGTGAAGCTAAATCAGGATTGCATTTACATACGGCAAAATCTAAATACATGCGCTTATCAGTATTTTCAAAGTCTAATGATAAAACGCATTATTTTTGGAGGATAATATGTAAATTCTAGAATTAAATTGGAAGAGTCTGTTTTCAAAGGTAGTACTTTCACTACAGCCAAATAATCACCACAACCATTCACGTTAATTTGGTTCCATTTAGGAAATGAACATAGACAGTCATAGTTTTATTATAAGCTGCTATATAGTATCTAGAGAGGGTGAATCGTTTTTTCTTCATGGTGCGTTACCTAGAGGAATAAAAAAGAACTAATAAATGTTATATTGTTGTAATAATGTTTTGTTTTACTTAATTAGTTGCCCTGTTCTATGCAGTTGTTTGTTTCACTGGGGTTGCCCTGCCCCATCTTGTTTAGTTTGAAGTATTTTGTTTGAGCATATTTGTGGTGATCTGGCTTGTTCTGGGAAACAAACTGAAATGAACTCAATAAAATCAGCAGTAGGAATAGTTTTTTGTTTCTTTGATAAATTTCTCTTTCAAAGTCAAAGAGAAGATATATATTTTTTGTACTGAACCATCAGTGAGATTTTGCAAGTGTCAAAAATATGCTAAGTGGGGTGAAATGTCAATTGTTTATTTTTACCATGTTGATCCAAAATGGAGAAACACACAGCCAAATTCACTGTGAGCCTCTATATATTTAAAAGGCTATCTCCAACATGACATTTCTGTAATTTTCATGCAGCTTCTGAGGTACCTGTTTTGTACATTCTCTGCTTTAAATTGTAATCATAAATCATACAAATTCAGAAATGTCCAGGATCATGGTGTTGGAGTACTGTACCCTTTTTCAGTTATTATGTGTTGTTTGTCCTACTTGTCATAGTATATTTAGAATCAACAGCTTTGGCAATAAAACATGCTTAATACAAGTCAAGCATAGCATCAACATTATTAAAACACAGCTGAAGATAAATTTTGTTTTGCCATCTTTTAACCATAATCTGAATTTGACCCAATGTAGTCTTAACATTCAGTTGACCATGAAGTAAACCAAATTTTGAGTGGACATTCTTTTTTTATTTTATTGAGATAGCATTGGCTAATATAATAACGTTTTATAAATTTCAGATGTACAACATTATAATTCAGTATCTTTATAATCTATTGCATGCTTACCATCCGTTACCATGTATTTGACCCCCTTTACTCATTTTGCCTTCCCCCACCCCCATTCCTCTCTGATAGCCACCATTCTGTTGTGAGAAGACATTGTTAACAATGATTGCTGGGTTTATTTTGGAAAATGTCAACACAACTTTTTACAATACATACTTTATTCTAATTTCTAAACTAATACTAGCCAGTTTCAATATTTATTCAGTAACAATTGTTGAAAGCTTATTGTGTATTAGGTAATATTATTGTTCCAGCTATTCTTGAAAAGCTAAGAAACTTTTAAGGGTCCCTACAAACTTTCCAATGTGTTATAGCATGCAGAAGAAAAAGCAGTTAGTTGAGCAGGTGGAAGGTGGCATGGGGGCTAGGCAAGGTGGGTATAGAGCTTTAAAGCAGAGTCAGAAGAGAATGGGAGTTAAACAGAAAAAGTAAGGAGAAACATTCCTGGTTAAGAAAATAGCACATGTGAGAGAATCCATGTATAAAAGAACTTGCAAAATTCAGAGGTCTGCAAGGAATTGGTTATAGATGGAATGTGGGATGTGTTGGGGAGAATAAGTGAAGTGAGACCCAGGCCGTGAAGAGATGCAGGGGTGCACATTGACTAAGAACATATACTTCTGTATCCTACTGAGTTGGAGTTTAAGCCTAGCTGCCCCTTATTTGCTCGTTACTTAACCATTCTATTCTACAGTTAAGAATATGTAACTATAAAATGGAAATATAACACACAACTTGGCATACAGTGAGTTATCAATACATGGTAGCTATTTGGTTGTCAGAAAAGTCATGATGCGTTTTTGCAACAAAAAACAGAAAAAATGCATCATGACTTTTCCAACAGCCCAATATCATTGTTAGAAGTTTATATTTTAATAAACGCCTAAGCAATAAAGAGCCATTGTGTGATTTTAACTAAATAATGACATGATTAGATTTCCATTTTATAAGTAGGATGTAGTTAGCATAGTCTAGAGAATAAGGTGATGAAGTCAGATTGCAAGTGCAGGCAAAACATGACATCTTAGTCAGCTAGGGCTGCTGTAACAAATCGCTATCAACTGTATAGCTTGGACAACAAACATGTATTCCTCATAGTTTTGGAGGCTGGGAAGTCCAAAGTCAAGGTGCCGGCAGATTTGATGTCTGGTGAGAGTTCTCTTCCTGGTTTGCGGAAAGCCACCTTCTTGTTACATCCTTACATTGTGGAGAGAGAGGTCATCTCTCTCATGTCTCTTCTTATAAGGCCACTACCATTCAACAGGTCCGCACATGACCTAATTACCTTGCAAAGGCCCCACCTCCAAATACCACCATATTGGAAATTAGGGCTTCAATGTATGAATTTGGGGAAAACAAACATTCAGCCCATAGCACATTAGCACTAAACTAAAACAGTTGTGAGGTTGGAGAAGTAGTATCTTGGAGAGATTTGGAGGTAAAATCAGTAGTTTGGTAACCAAATTATAGGTAGATGTGGAAGGAAAGTAGGTATCTGAGAACACTGAAGTTTCCACCTGTGACAACTAGATGGATGGTAGGTAGAAATAACAGGTAAAAACACACTTAGAACAGTATTAACATTTTTAAATGTTGTAATACATTTGCAATAGTTTATTAAAGTGAGTAAATTCAGTTTATAATAATATCAGTAAAACATGAAAGTAAATATCCGGCTTGTTCATGAATGTGAGTGCTGGTTCAGTGCAGGAGCATGTAACTTCAAAATATTAAAACAGCTTTGCATCTTAAGACTTGCCTCACACAAAAAGGCAATGATAGAGGTTGAATCTTAGTTGTCTTGTTTATACCAAACCAAAAGCATAATATATACATATTGTGCTTTGTCTCCATTTCTTTTAGGGTCCCCAAGGACCAAAAGGTCAACCAGGGCCTCCAGTGAGTTTATTTATATTTATATCCATTTATCATTGATGCTATATGCTTGCCTGGTGTGATATATCTACTAAATAAATTCTTTTTAAAATTTGTTATATTATAGGGTCCACCTGGAGCACCAGGCCCAAGGGTAAGTTTTCTTGGTTTTATTTTATTTTAGTATATCATATTAACCTTTTTTAAAACTTCCATTAACTCCCTGTTAAAAGGTGCCTCTCTTTCCTACCTCTGTTCTTTTTGCTAATCAGATAGAGAACGTTCCTAACTGTAATAACTTGCGTCTAAACCTCAGACTTCTTGTCTGTAAAATGGGGATGGTATCTCTTACTTTCTTGGGTGGATTTAGTTTTTAATAAGAAGTAAAATGCTCAGCAGAGCACCTGACATAATAAATGGCCAAAAAAAAGAAAATACTGACTCCCTCCATTTCTTCCTACTTCTGGGTCCTAGCTCTCCTTTTTTAAATGTTCTTTTTTGCGAATGAGAGTTATCCATTTCTCAGACTTTACATGAGTCTTTCTTAGTTGCTGATGATTGTAGAGGCCCTCAGACTGCTTATGTGTTTGCTTGTTATCTATTACAACCCCAAACTTTCTACCCTTATCTTTCATGCAATGCTTCTGTTGCCTTCTTATCAGCTACTATCTCCTGGCCTCTGATGTTCCAAGCTTGGTTTCCTTTATTCTTTGTATCCACTCTCATACTCAGTGCCTTCCTGCTTACTACAAGAGATGTCCTTCCATTCCCTATCTCACCCATGCCCCATTCCTACAGCGTCGTGGTCCAATACAATGGTCCTTTATTAGGTTTCCTGCATAAAGGAGATCAATTATTGGTTCCACTGTCCCAAATAATGGCCAGTTGTATGCCTCCCAAGCCTTACTTATTTCCATATGCTGCTCTGGCATCATTTGGATATCTGACACTTCTAGTTGATGGATCACTGTGGTCTACTCTCAGCAGGCTGGGAACTCTTCATTCCTCTCAGCTTTTCATCAAGGCAAGAAAAGTGCCACACGGAAGACTGTTTCCCTAGAAATGGGAGATCTATTGCTCTATAATTTTTAGAAATCACTCCCCCTTTCTACCCATCTGACTGACTGATGGGGATTGAAACCTTCCCTGACATGAATATCAATGGGAATTTTCATCTTTCTTTAAAATTTCAAATTACTTTTGACTTTTCTATTCTTCCTTTCCCTGTGGATCCCCACAAAACATGAGTTACGAACACACTCATCCATTGCCTTTCCATCTTGTAATGATTTTGATATACCATAGCTACCTTTCTAAGAAAGAACAAGTTCTAAACGATTATACATCCTTAGCAAATTAGAGGTGTTTAGTGAATTTTTTTACATTGAAGTGCCAAACTTTTGGGAAACATATCCCTGTCTCACTTGGAAAAAGCTTATATGTGCCCCTATAGAGCCCAAATGAAGTAAGACACATAAGAGGTTTTTGCTGTGAACACAATGTGGATAAGAATATATACTTTGAGGAATTATTAAGAGGATTAAATAAGAAAATAGATGTGCTTGACACATTATAGGTGCTCAATTAATAATAGTATCTTTATTTCCCTCCTCTCTTTCTCTCCTTTCTGTCTTCTTTCTTCTTGGCCAATATTCTTACCCAAACTTCTTACCCAGTTTCCTTATACTGTCTTTTTGAGACTTGCAGAGTCTGTTGCAGGAAAGTGGCAGTGTAGCCTTGAGAATAAGACTTCTAGAGTTGAAGTTTAAATGACAATGAGAAAATACCTATATGTTATTTCTAAACTCAACTTATGATCATATCTTCTGTGCAACTGTTCTTAATTTTAACCCTTATCACACTGCAGGATAGAACTGATCATTTCCACTTCTTCATTCATACTCATTTATTTTCATGCCAGTCTCCCTCTACTAGATTATGAATTCTCTGAAAGTAGGGATATTTTTTAAACTTCTTTTCCATTCAAGCTTTTACTGTCTTTGAATGAATGGATGGATGAATGAATGATTAAATAAATAAATAAATAGATAAATAAATAAAAAAGGCAAGTTCATGTCTTAAGAAATTTCAGTATGAATTCTCCAAACTAGAAGACTTCACTTGGAGGAAAACAATATTTAAAATGGAATATGATCATAGAATTAGAGATAGACATAATTTTAGGAAGTATTTAATAATTATTTCAAATTGTGAGGTGTGTCTCATTAGTCAGTGGATCATGAGTTCAATTTAATGAGTCTCATTCAGCATTCTTTTGAAATTAAATTAAATGAAATAGAATAGAAAAAATATGAACAATTGTTTAAATGGATACAAAGTTTCTTTAGAGGTGATAAAAAATGTTCTGAAATTAAATGTTGGAAATATTTGCACAACATAATGAATCTACCAAAAGCAACTGAATTGGACACTTTAAAATGGCTAAATTGGTTAATTTTATGTTATGAGAATTTTTCCTCAATTAAAAAAAAATTATCATAGGTAGTAGGGACACATATGGCTTTGTAAAACTTTTCAGTTAAATATCTGTTCATTTGTGTGAATCTTGTAATGATGTAAAAATGTATTTCTTACTGTGGATCCAGATAAGAAAAGTTTTTAAATCTCTAATCCAGTCCATCCCACTCTTTTCAAGACCTATGAAAGTAAAGTGACTTGCTCAAGTTCCTAAAGTAGAATAGCTAAAGGGAAATGTTTCAGGAAAAGGAATATGTATTGATGTGCTTTTGAATGTAAGGATATTATCAGTGTGATGACCAGACTTCAGTGCACATGGTACGATACTCAGAAACTAACAAAGAAATCTACCACAGGATATCAGAGTTAACCAAAAATGATTGATGAGCCAAAGGGGAGAAAAGGATGGGTATGTGTGTCTATGTGTGGTGTGGAGGATGGAAGCAATAATCATTTTAAATCATTAAATGAGATAAGGAATTTTCAACTTAATTATTCTAATTAATGGGCCATCCATGAGACCTGGATTGGCGAAAGGTTCCAGCTGCTGACATCATCCTGGTTCCCTGGAACAAGCAATTATTTCCACCATGGAGAGGTGCATGACCTGAAATTTCCTATTCCACCAATGTTCACACCACCAGTGATCTTAAGATTTCAGATGCCTGGAAAATAATAACACTTCTCCAAATACTGGGGTGCCCAGACTAGCTCTATATTTCACTCAAATGAATTGGGAGCAAATTGTGACAATTACATTCCCCCCATAGTATAATGAATCCTCCTAATTTCCCTCATTAGTCCCACAAATCTGATAACTCCTTGTTTTCTGTATTCTATGTCATATTTTCGTAAACCTTAAGAGATTTTCATGTAAGAATATATTCTCTCTAACTAGAATACATAGAGAGAGATATTTCTTTTGGATTCCTTCACTGCACCTCATGTGAGTTTATGTTCAGATGTGGGCATTTAGTGTTGTCTGATGACTTCCAAGGCAAATCATCTTGATACAGTCTCTCTGGGCCTAACCTCCCTAAAGGCAACCCTTGAGAAAAATTAACATGTTCAACAAACGAAATGCCTGCTATGTGCCAGATGTGAGCTAGGCTTTGGGAATGCATTGGGAATTATAGAAGTATGGCTACTGCCAAGAAAATCTATGAAAGGCCAAGTGTTAGGACATTGTTTTCTTCCTAACGCCTATTGAAAAAAATTTGCCCTTTTCGTTGAGTTGACATTTGTATTGGTGGTTAAAATTGCAAATACCTTAGTATGAATCAAATACTGAACTCTACACTCTTAAGCTACTAAAAAGTCGTATTTTTCATGGCCATACACACTCAAAAAATAAAACATGTTCATTTCACTTAAAAATATTCTATAATGTATTCATCCATCCAGACCTCTGTTAATGGATGTTTGTATCCAATCTTTTCCTAATACAAATAGTACAAATGCCCTGTCCATATAAATATTATTTTCCAGAATATCTATAGGACCAGTTCCCAGAAGTGGAATGGTTAAGTTTCAGGGATATGAACATATTTATTTATTTATTTTAATTGTGGGTAAATATACATAACATAAATTTATCATTTTAATTATTTTCAAGTGTACAGTTCAGTGGCATTAAGTACATTCACACTGTTGTGCAATCATCACCCACCCATTCCCAGAACTTTATTCATCTTCCAAAACTGAAACTCTGTTTCTAGTAAACAGTAATTCCCAATCGTCCCTTTCCCCAGCCCGTGGCAACCACCATTATACTTTCTATCTTTATTAATTTGTCCACTTCATACAAGGGGAGTCATACAGGATCTGTCCTTTTCTGACTGGCTTATTTCACTTAGTATAATGTCTTCAGGGTTCATCCACATTGTACCATGGTCAAGATTACTTTCCTTTCTAAGGCTGAATAATATCATTGTATGTATATACAACATTTTGTTTATCCAGATGGGCACTTGGGTTGCTTTCACCTTTTGGCTATTGTGAATAATGTGCTATAAATATAGGTGTACAAACACCTGTGTAAGTCCCTGCATTTAATTCATTTTGGTATTCCTGGAATTGCTGGGTCATATGGTAATTCTATGTTTAACTTTTTGAGAAACTGCTATATTGTTTTCCCATAACAGCTGCACCATTTCACCTTTCCACCAGTGGTGCACAGGGTTCCAATTTCTCCACATCCTCTCCAATGCCTGTTATATCCTGTTTTGTTTTTATTTTGTTTTGTTTTGTTTTTATAGCAGCAATCCTAATGGGTTTGAAGTGGTATCTAACTATTGTTTCGATTTGCATTTCTCTGATTCGTGGTGATCATATTTTTATGTCCCTATTGGCTTATATCTCTTTTGAGAAAATGTCAATTGAAATATCTTCTGCAGAAAAATATCTTTGCCCATTTTTTTGAATTGGTGTGCTTTTGTTTTATTTTGTTGTCGAGTTGTAGGAGTTCTTTATGTATTCTGAATATTAAGTCCTTATCAGGTACATGATTTGCAAATGTTGTCTCCCATTTCACGGGCTGCCTTTTCACTCTGTTGGCTGTCCTTTGCATAGAAGTCTAATTTCGTAGTCCAGTTTATGTGTTTTTTTCGTTTGTTGCCTTTCTTTTGGTGTCATATCCAAGATGTCACTGCCAAATTCAATGTCATGTAGCTTTTC